ATTATGATTCTTTTTCACTTGGGAACACTTTGTTTCTCATTTTTTAATGATGAAAGATAAAAATATATTTTGTATTTATGTTCTCATTACTGTTTTTAGAGCACTTAATTTATTTGTGTACATTCTAGTTTCTGTCTATCTTCGTATTTCTTCTGCCTGCAGGAGTTACATTAATATATCTTGTAGTACAGGTCTGCGGGCAGTGAATTCTCTTAAATTTGTGTTTGTTTGAAAATGAGTTTATTTGCCTTCATTTTGAAAGATATTTTTGTTGAATATAAAATCTGAGTTGAAAGTTTTTTCTCTTAGTATTTTAAAGAAGTATTTTTGTTTATCACTAAAAAACGAGAAATTGAGTTTCCAACAGAAAAAGAAACATAATATTGTCCCTAGACACAGTGAAAGCAAGCCAGAAAAATATGCCCAAAACAAATGACACTTATAATCAAATATTTCCAAATTGACTGAAAGAAATAAATACAATAATAAAAGAACTGAAAGAAAAAAATTCTCAATTAGACAGTGCCTGTTCCATTGTCTTTTGCCTAGCATAGTTTCCAATGAGAAGTCTGTTTCAGTTTTTATCTTTATTCCTTTGTGTGTAGTGTGTCTGTCTAGCGCTGCCTTCAAGGTTTTCTTTTTCTTTTTGGTTTTAGCAGTTTAAATGTATTGTACGTGGTACAGATATTTTCTTGTTTTTGAAAACCCTATTTAGGGGTTTCTGAGTTTTTTAAATCTGTGATTTGATGTCTTTTGTTATTTTAAAAATGATTTCAGTTGCTGTCTCTGGGTATTTGTGTCTAACACTTTTTCTGTCTTCTATGGTTTCAGTTACATGTATGTTAGAACATTTCACATATGTCACAGCTCTGGGATGCTCTGTTCTGCGCGCGCATGTGTGTGTGTGTGTGTGCGCGCGCGGTGGGGGGGATTCACTTAGGCTAGAATGCAATGGTCGGAGGAGAGGAAGAAAGAAGGGGAACCACAAGTTGGTGTAGGAGTCAGGACACAATGAGGTTTGCCATCTATTATTGAGTGCAATTTGTGGTACCCCAAAACGGATCACAGTTTACTACACAGGTATAATAATAATGAAAAAGTTTGAAATACTTTGAGAATTGCCAAAATGTGACACAGATATGAAGTGAGCACATGGTGTTGAAAAAAAATGGAGTGCCAATAGACTCGCTCAGTGCAGGGTTGCCCGTCCTCCTTGAATGCTTTTGATTGACGGTGTGACAGGGATCCTGAATGAATTGGTTTTCTAAATGGATGATTCTAAATGAATAGGTTTTTCCCTTAACCTACAGCTGGTATGTTCTTGTTCTTCAAAATTGGGAAGACTTAATGGTATTTCATTAGGTTCTCCTCTTTATTTCTGTAGTTTCTGAGATTTTTCATCTTGGGAAGGGAAGTAATTGGTCAGCCCTTCTTATTCTATTCTACCTGTTTCTGACAGGAATTCTTTAAAGTTTTTGACTTGGGTGGATAGTACCCTTCTTAAGTATTACAGGCTGTGTAGACTGCTGTAACAAAATGCCATAAAATAGGTAGCTTAAAAACAACAGAACTTTATTTCTCATGTTTGTGGAGGTTGGGAAGTTCAGATCAAGGTGGGGAGATTTTTATGTCTGACTAAATTCCTGATCCACAGACAATGCCTGCTCTCTGTGTTCTCACATGGATGAAGTTGAGATAAAATTCCTTTAGACCTCTTTTGTAAGGGCACTAATCCCATTTATCAGAGTTTTGCCCTCATGACCTAAAAAATCTCCCAAAGGCCCGTATTTTAATATCACCTTGGGGTTAAGATTTCAACATATGAAATTTAGGCAGACACAAATACCAAACCGTAGCACCAGTCCTATTACCGTTGTATATTTTCTCACATTTTCTCTTTTTGGTGTAGTCCATCACTTAGTGAATACTGTGTGCCAGGCATTGTATTGAGCACCTCATAGATATATTGTTAATCTGTGTAATGATTCTGTGATACAAATATCATCCCTGTTACACAAATAATTAGAAACGGAGACTTGCTCAAAGTCGCAAAGCTGTAGATAGCATAGCTAGGATTACTTTCACTTTTCTTAAAAGCTGTGGCCTTTAACTGTGGTTAAAAACCTAGTATTTCAGCCAGGAATAGTGGCTATTGTCTATAATCCCAACACTTTGGGAGGCCAAAGTGGTAGGAGTTTGAGAACAGCCTGAGCAACATAGGAGATCCTGTCTCTGCATTATATATGTTACATATATATGAGCTATATGTGGTGGCATGCACCTGTAGTCCCAGCTACTTGAGAGGCTGAGGCAAGAGAGATGTCCTGAGCCTAAGAGGTCAAAGTTGCAATGAGTCATGATTGTGCCAATGCACTCTAGCCTGGGTAGCAGAGTGAGACACTGTCTTTAAAAAAAAAATGTAGACCTTTAATTCACTTGTTGTTCAGAATACATTTCTTTAAAGCTACTGGCTTGAACTTATTTGATAGTAATGTTATTTATTCATTTATTTTTAAGATTGGGTTTCACCGTGATGACCAGGCTGGCCTTGAACTCCTGACCTCAGGTGATCCACCCACCTCGGCCTCCCAAAGTGCTAGGATTACAGGAAGCCACCGTGCCCGGCCCGATAGTAATTTTTAGGTACTGTAACATTTAGTATTAGTGCAACACATTGTGTGACATGACATATACTATACTCCTGCTTTTTCTTTTTTGCTTTTGTGTAAACTAGTGGATGATGGAGCTTTGCGAAGTAAAGCTGTAGTAATTTCTTAGAGTTTTCAGGCCAGAAACCTTCATTGATTTTTGTTTGATACCCAACATCTATCAGCAAACCATAGTTCTACCTTCAAAATATATATAGAATCTGACCACTTCTTATCAACCCCACTGCTACCACCCTAGTCCATTTCAGCACCTTTTCTCACTTGGATTATGATAGCTTCCATAACCATTTCTATACTTGGCTTCCCTTTAGTCTTCTTTTCAGCATAGCAGGTAGAATGATATGGTTCATCACTGTCAAATCACATCACTCCTCTTTTCCAAATCCACCAGTCAATTACTCTTTTACTCAATTAAAAAGCTAAAGTTCTTAACACATTCCTTAGTTCTCTGAGGTGCTCTTTTTTTTCACTTTTCCTTTTGAGACAGGGTCTTGCTCTGTAACCTGGGATGGAGTGTAGTGGCACAGTCTGTTCACTGCAGCTTCTGCCTGCTGTGCTGTGCTCAAGTGATCCTCCCACCTCAGCCTCTAGAGGAGCTGGAACTATCTAGAGTAGCTGGGGCTACAGGCGTGTGGCCCTGTGCTTGCTAGGCTTTTTATTTTTATTTTTATTTTTTTGTAGAAATGAGTTCTCAGTATATTGTCCAGGCTAGGAGAGTGCCTTTTAAAAATTTGCATAGAGGTGTTGGATGTCTTAGCAGTGACATACTCAAAGGATCCTCAGACATTGAAATATCCCTTTCTCAAAATGCTACCAGCTAGGTGTGTATTGTTTTCTATTAAATAGCTCCTGACATATTCAGTGACTTGATTGGTTTATTCTTTTTTGCCCTTCCCCCTGCTCTGACCCCCAAATCTCAGTTTTCTTTTCTGTGGGTCTCTCTGTAGCCAGTATGTCCTCTTATTATTATGTATTTATCATTATTGTATATATTTTCACATTGTGTTGTAATCATCTATAACGTATTTGACTCTGCCATTAGACTTTACGTTCTTATATTCTAAGGGATAGTGTTTGTACCCAAGAAGTTTTTCTTGTAGGAGTGAGTGCATTTTCAGTTACAGTTTTAAGTGTCATTTTACCATCAGTAAGGATTTGGATTTGTATGCCAGTAACAGAAAACTTGATGAACATTGACGTAAGACAGTGAAGATTTACTTTCTCATGTAATGTGAAGTCCAGCGGAGGCAATCCAAGGCTGATGCAGCTGCTCAAGGATTTCATCCAGAAACCACTATCCTGTCTTCCTAGCTCAAGGATTTTGTTTTCATGGTCAGAAGATGGCTGTAGTATCTCTGGACACTACATCATAATTTCAGTAAGAAAGAAAAGGCAAAGATAAAAGGAAATGACTTTTTACAAGGCTTTGCAATTTTGACCTTGTAGATGGTAGCCCATTAGAAATTGATGCCTGTATTTCATTGGCCAGAATGATGTTGTGTGGCAAATCAGAAGTACAAAATAGGCTGGGATTTTGAGTATTCGTTTTTTATTCTTTATAGGAAAAGAAAAGAGAAAAAAATTGTAATTGTCATTTACCTCAAGTATCAAAAAGTAGTATAGAACAAGTGGTTAACAACATAGACCTAAATTTGAATTTTGACTTTGTTACTTCTTAGCTGTGTGACTTTAACAGCTCTCTGCCTTTGTTCCCTCATCTATAAGCTGTGTCTAGTAATAGGTAACTATTTCACTTTGTTATTGACGCCGTTAATTGATGTATGTTGTGGGTTTAATGTATATCGTTCGCTTTGTTTACATAGCTAATAAATTGTTACAATTATTGTCATTACCTACAAGCATTGTCGAAACTGAAATTGTATAAATTTATCACTCAAGGAACTGGCTTTCTTTGGGATAGGAAGAAAAGAGTATTTACCAGGTCTAGGTAGGTGCTTTTGAGTACAGGTAATGGTAGAAAACAATGGTAGAACTTTTTAAAGGGCTCTGGTGAGTGCATTGTACTATTACAAATTATGGATGGTGTTAAAATGTTGGAACCATTTTCCTTTACTCATTGAGTTCATTTTGAAGCTCAGTGACCCTTAGGGTCATCTTCAACAAGTTGTCATTTGTTGATGACCCTAAAGTTTAGTTCAATAGAAATTTCATCTCTTATTGATAGAATATTTGAAGACTTTGCTCAAATATATATATAAATATGATATTATTATATTGAAATATGATTTCATATTATTACTAGCCTTTTCCAGTTTGTAATCACTCTACTTTGAAAAATATATATCAATTATTTTTCTGTTTTCTTTTTAGCCCCATCTGCTTTGATATGATTGAAGAAGCATACATGACAAAATGTGGCCACAGCTTTTGGTAAGACAATTTTATGGAGTAAAATAGTCTTTTGGCATTTTAAAACTTATCTGTAAATGTAGCCAATGAGAAGTTATGTGTTTTAAACGAACTTTGATTATCTCATATCTGGCAGTTTAAGGCAGTTACTATATGGCTGGTACATAATTTCTTCGAAATATTTAGACTTACCGTAGTCCTTACCAATGGATTTGAAAACTTCTGCATTAATTAATGTTAATAAGAACTTTTGACTGCTATTCTTAGTGATGCTGGGCAATGAGGACCAACCATGAAGCATTAGTTACTTGTGGGAATAGGTTGGAGAACGCAGTGAAGCAGGCCAAGAAGTTCATGGAAGAAGGATAGAGGATTTAAAAGTTCTGTGTTCTTTTCTTTAACACTTTGCTCAGCATTATCTTTACATTATATCATGGCACATTAACCCATATGTTAAACATTTTTTTAATTGTAGAATTCACATAATACTGAATTTATATTTTTTATATATTTTTTTCTGGTTCCTTAGTCTTGGAGGAATATATAATTTTAACCACAGTTATGTGAACAGTGCAGCAGTGTTAAATATGTTCATATTATTGTACAATTGATCTCTAGAACTTTTTGTGCAAAACTGAAACTCTTCACTCATTAAACAGCAATTTCCCATTTCCCCTTCCCCACAGCTCCTGGCAGCTACCATTCTACTTTCCGTTTCTATGGATTTAACTACTCTAGATACCTTGAATAAGTGGAAGTATTTGTCTTTTTGTGACTAGCTTATTTCACTTAGCATAATGTCTTCAATGTTTATCAGTGTTGTAGCATGTGTTAGAATTTTTTTCCTTTGTTAGGCAGAATAATACACCATCGTATGTGTATACTACATTTTGGTTATTCATCTGTCAGTAGACACTAGGGTTGCGTCTTCTACCTTTTGGCTATCGTAAATAATCTGCTGTGAATATGGATATACAAACATCTCTTTGGGACTCTGCTTTCAGTTGTTTTGGGTGTATACTCAGAAGTGAAATTGCTGGATCATGTGGTAATTTTGTTTCTAATTTTTGAGAAACCTCCATACTGTTTTCTGTAGGGGCTGCACTATTTTATGTTCTCACCAGCAGTGCATAAGAGTTCCAGTGTCTCCACATCCTTGCCGACTCTTATTTTCTGTTGTTTTTTGGTAGTAAGCATCCTAATGGATGTATAATCTGTGTATTTTTAATTATTTTTGCTTATTTTTTACCTATTCTGTTGGCATATTATTTTAGCCTTAGTATTCCTTGTATTCTAATATGCTGTATATTCTAAATCATGTTGAAATCAGGCCCATAATTTTGTGCTAAAGTTGGATATGATATCTGGCAGATTGATACCCAATCATCATGAAGAATATTGGGTATTAACACTAGTCGATAAGATCTTTCATTTCATCTGGAGTATGATGCTTTGGTGATAGGTGTATTCCCTTTGCTAGTCACTTAAAAAGCTTTAAATAAACATCACTTTCTTAGCTTCTATTATCTATGTTCTTTCTTACGAACTGTTAAAATGATAACAGCAATGCATATTCTTGCTTTAAAACGCAACTATTGTTGTACAGGAAGATGTAACATAAAATACAAATGTCTACCTTTATCTAGTCTTTCTTGCCTGCCTTTTCAGAGGTTATCACAAGTAAAAGAAGTGATTAAGTATTCTTTCAGAATCTTTTTACCAGTTTGTTTTAGGCCATCTTGCTTTCTTGAATCCTTCTTGTTTTCTAGTATATCATTGTATTGACAAAATTATGATTCACAAATCACTTTCTGCTCTGTATTGCCAATGAAATTCTGGTCGTGTGGGTCTTGCTTTAGGATTGATACAGGTATGGTATTAGATGTGATGACTGGTTCTGATTTGTCCTAGCTGTTCTTGTTATAGTTCATTCTTTTTCTAGAATTTTCTGATTACTCACAGTTTTCTATATGTACTCATCCTTGTTTACACAGATAGAAAAAGATATTTATATTGGTTAGCAAGTATATACATAGTAGAAGAAACAGACGATATACATCTATAGAGAAATATACTTTTTTTATTAGCAGATACATAATAGAGAAAGTAGGCACCCATTTATATCAGCAGAATTAAAATTATTATTTTAAGAGTTGCAGTGTGAGTAAATTGAAAATTTCTCAGGTGGACCCAAGATATGTATTCCAAGATATATATTTACCGCTTTATTATGCCCACCTATTGCTAAGTAACTGATCTAGATATTTAGATATATGCTGCTTTCCTGGCTCTATCTATTCTTTCATGCATAGATTTCTATCTATTTTTACATTCAACATGTACTGAGTTTAAATTCTTCTAACAGGATATTGTGCTAGACATTAAGGGTACAGAGGGTAAAAATCCTTGCATGTAATGACCAAATAGAAGAAGGGCTGATAGGCACATACAGAGATAAGCAGAAGATAAGATAGTAACACTTTCTCAAACTAAGGCAGATATGCTCTGGGCTGGTAGTTAAGTATTAGATGCTCTGAGATACATTTGATATATCTTGTTGTCACTTAAGTTGTATACAGTGGTATGTAATTTGATATACTTTAGTTTTACAATATAAATGGATATTATCAAGTGTGATGCAGAAAAACCACTTGAACTATTGTATTGAGGATAGTTACTTCCAGCTATGTTCCAATTTTTGAGTCTGTGAGAGAGAGTGTGGTAGTAAGCCTATATAGGTGGAATATGATTAGGATGATGAAGAAAAGATTTTCTACTAGATTTTGGAATAATTTCTTGTATATTGACAAAAAAAATTTTTTTTTTCTGCTTTCTGAGACTGGGTGTTGCCCTGTCAGCAGGCTGGAGTGCAGTGGTGTGAACATGGCTCACTGCAGCCTCGACTTCCTGGGCTCAAGCAATCCTCCTGGCTCAGCCTCCTGAGTAGCTGGGATCACAGGCACACACTGCCACCACGCTTGGCTAATTTTAAAAATTTTTGTAGAGATGGGGTTTCACCATATTTCCTGGGCTGGTTGCAAACTCTTGGGCTGAGGCAGTCCTCCCACTTCAACCTCCCAAAGTGCTGAGATTAAAGGCATGAGCCATTGCACCCAGCCTAATAAACTTCTCTCTGACTTAACAACTTAGCTTGTTCTTGTCATCTGCACATTTTCTATCATTTATTTTTAAACAAAATTTATTTGCTAAAACCCATAATTTTCTCCTTCTACTTAACTGTCAACCCATTTCTTAACTTTATTTATTTAATTTTTTTTTTTTTTTTTTTGAGATGGAGTCTCACTCTGTCACCCAGGCTGGAGTGCAATGGCATGATCTTGGCTCACTCCAGCTTACACCCTTGGATTCAAGCAATTCTCCTGCCTCGGCCTACTGAGTAGCTGGGACTGAAGGCACGCCAACATGCCTGCCTGATTTTTGTGTTGCCCAGGCTGATCTCAAACTCCTGACCTCAAGTGATCTGCCCACCTTGGTCTCCCAGAGTGCTGGGATTATAGGTGTGAGCCACCGTACCTGGCCTTATTTTTTAAAAAATTAAAAAAAAAAAAATTTTTTTTTTTTTTTTTGAGACAGAGTCTTACCCTCTAGCCTAGGCTGTAGTGTAGGGGCACAATCTCAGCTTGCTGTAACCTCTGCCTCCCAGGTTCAAGTAATTCCCCTGCTTCAGCCTCCCGAGTAGCTGGGATTACAGGTGCCTGCCACTATGCCCAGCTAATTTTTGTGTTTTTTATAGACATGGAGTTTCACCATGTTGGCCAGGCTGGTCTTGAACTCTTAACCTCAAGTGATCCACCCACCTTGGCCTGTCAAAGTGCTGGGATTACTGGCGTGAGCAGATGCACCCAGCCCAGCATGTCTCTTATCTTTAATAACCTTTGACAGTCTTACCTTCATGACTTGTTTTGTTAAACTTGCTGGTGTTGTTTTTTTGTTGTTGTTATTTTTGTTTGTTTGTTTTTTTTGAGACAGTCTCTCTCTGTCTCTCAGGCTGGAGTGTAGTGGCGTAATCTCTGCCCACTGCACACTCAGCCTCCCAAGTAGCTGGAACCACAGGCCACACAGCACCAGACACAGCTAATTTTTGTATTTTATTTATTGTTTTTTTTTTTTTTTTTTTGTTTTTTTTTTTTTTTTTTTGTAGAGACAGGGTTTTGCTGTGTTGTCCAGGCTGCTGATTAAAAATGGGGTTAAATTTTGCATGTATATTTCCTAGTAATGTTAACTCATTTCCTTTTTTTCTAAGAAGACTATAAATTTCTTCATGTTGTGATTCTTAGTCTTTTGTATTTGCATGCCTACGTTATGCTTCTTCCTTGTAATAAAAATGAAATAAAACAATTAGTATGTCAATTCCTTCAGTAAAATTTCCATGTGGGAATTTTCAGTCATATGTAAGGCATATTTTGTGATTATGGTAATCCTAGCCTGGTCCTAGTTGCAAGAGGTGATTATATTGTTTTTGGAACATTGTGCAAGTCATTTGTTCAGTAGATATTTGCATATCCATTATGTGCCTGGCATTTGCTTCAGTCTTTAGGCTCCTGTGATTTGCCGAAGACCGCTGTTATTTTGATTTTTCACACCTTCTTCTTTTTAACTTACCTTGAAAGTAACAAATGTGAGATGTGAAAGTAGTTGATAACCAGAAGGGTGAAACCTGGTGGATGTAGGTTTTTCTATTTTTGTTTGTTTTATTTAGTATTTTGTTAAGGTGGAGAGGAAGGTAAGTGGATATAGAAATCAGCTTCTGTTTGCAAAGCTTAAGTAAATTTATAGTAATTTGGGTACAGAATAAAAGTTGCTTTCTCTGTAGGAATGATCTTTATAAATCACCTTTGTAATTTCTTAGAAATCATTTTTTTCCTGAGTTTTAGCAATACTTATTCACTATAGAAACTTGAATTAAAGACATCTACAAAGAAAAAATTTCCCATAATTATATGACCCAGAGAGAAATACTCTTAGCATTGTGAGGAATCTCTTTCTTGTTTATTTTAAATGTACACATATATATTTTTTTAAAGAGAAATGGGTTTATATTGTATACACTATGTTATAGATTGTCATTTTTACTCAGCAGTATGTATAGTGACATTTTTTTTCTCAAATCAGTTTGATACTTTTCCATAGTTTGGTTGAAAAATAAGGAGTTTTTGTAATTGTAAGGAGGTACACAAATGTAAAAGGTTTAACATTTTAGAAATATATAATGAAAGGGAAAATTTTCTGTAATCACAGTTCTCCAGCATTAACTATGAGTAGATTATTTTTATGGCATACAAATTACAATATAATTTTTATTGGATTGCTGTATAGCATTGCATTGGATTGATACAAATTTATTTAGTCAATTTCTTAGTGTTCAGGTTGCTTCTATTTTATTTTGCTATTTACAGATAACCTTGTATTAAACACCCTTCTAAATATATATATCCTTAGGATAAACTCCTGGAAGTAAAATCAAGACAAAAGGGAGTGTAAAACCTTAAGATTTTTCCTGCAATTTGCCTTCTAGGAAAGTTGTGCTGGTTAACATTTTCTGTAACAGTACCTGTGGTTGTTCATACCCATATGTACTCCTTAACTATGACAGTATTTTCTTTTGTCTTTTTTTCTTTTTTCAGACAGGGTGTCACTCTGTCACTCAGGCTGGAGTGCACTGTCATAATCATGGCTTACTGCAGCCCTGAACTCCTGGGCTCAGGTGTTCTTCCTGTCTCAGCCTCCCAATTAGCTGCACATGGCATCATACTTGGCTAATTTTTTTATTTTCTGTAGTAATGAGGTCTTGCTATGTTTCCCAGGCTGGTCTTGAACTCTTGGTCTCAAGTGGTCTTCCTGCCTCTGCCTCCTAAAGTGTTGGAATTATAGGCGTGAGCTGTTTTACCTTACTGGCGGTATTTTATTTTTCCATTCTGATTGATAAAATCTAGTATATGATTTTAAATGAGCTTTTTGTGACTAGTGAAGATAATGGTTTTCTCATGCTTATTGAGTAATTTTTGTCTTTGATTGATTTTTCTATTTCTCTTTTTTATTTGAATAAACTGAGTATTAAGGGTATTAGCATGTCAATAATATGAATAGTCTGTTTGCTTAACTGAGTGTAGGTATTTGCTTTTCTGGTGTTGTTATGAACTATTTAAATTGCATAAACTTAAAGTTTAGTGAGTACAGCTTTTTAAATTTGTATCCAGTAGCCTTGTTATTTGAGTTTATTTTGAAATAACTTTTGTGTACTGTTCAGCCAGTAAATGCCCTGTATATCCTGTTGATAATGTAAAAATACAAACAAATGAATTTGTTAGATTACTTACGTTGAAAATGAAGAATAGAAGACTAATAGTCATTATTTTGTGACTAGCTTATTAATTTTTCATTGGTTTTAATTAAGCCTTTTTTTTCCCCCCCTACTAATAGCTACAAGTGTATTCATCAGAGTTTGGAGGACAATAATAGATGTCCCAAGTGTAACTATGTTGTGGACAATATTGACCATCTGTATCCTAATTTCTTGGGTGAGTCTTTGGAATGATTTTTATTTTAAAAAATGTTTTGATCCCCAAAATTGTGTGCTAGCACTAATTTATTCAAAAAAGCCTACCTTAGTGGTAAGCAAGTCTCTCTCTACTACGTACTGCAGTGTTTTCCTCTTGGGTTGTGACATAGATTCTATATATTGTTAGTATTTTATTATTTTTAAGTTTTATTGAAGAAATTGATGCAACTTTTAGATTGTTATGTAGCTCAGGGACCCCTGGGCCATGGACTGGGGTACCAGTCTGTGGCCTTTTAGGAACTAGACTGCACAGCAGGAGGTGAATAACTGGCAGGTGAGTGGGCATTACCACCTGAGCTCTGTCTCCCATCAGATTAGTGGGGGCATTAGATTCACATAGGCGTATGAAGCTGATTGTGTATGTAAGGGATCTAGGTTGCATGCTCCTTATGAGAATCTGATGCCTGATGATCTGAGCAGGTACAGTTTCATCCTGAAACCATCACTCCCACCCGCCTTTGGTCTGGAAGAATTGCTTTCCATGAAACCAGTCCCTGGTGCCAAAAAGGTTGGGGACTGCTGATGTAGATGACAGGACTGGATGTGAGGCTTAACAAAAATGGCAGTGGTTCTGAACACATGAGATCTCCCTGTGAAGTGTTGTACATCCCTACTGTTTCTACTTTTGGGGCAGAAGTAAAAAAGTCCATAGGGAGAGGGAACCTAGGTTTGTTGAAGATTGAGGGGATGGGGACAAAAAAACTTGGGTGTGATTATTCCTAAGTTGGGAGTGAGTGGGTGAAAAGAATCTGAACTAGGGAGGCAATTAAAAATTAAGAACTTGGGAAGGAATACATGGAATAGAACTTTTGAGAGAGGAGCGCTAAGAACTAAAGAAGAGAGACATGAATAGGGAATCCTTAAGTGTAAATAATAAATAATCAGAAATAATAACTAGTCAGCCAGTTGCAAATATCATAAAAATTCTGCATGTTAACTATCTTAACATATTGTAGGAAACTTTTAGTCTGAGTGTTTTAGGAATGAATAATAAGCTAAAGATTAATTTTCAGGTATGGGTAGGCATTAGGTAGGGTACTGTTGGGTTTGTGTATCAAAAAGGTCAATTCTTAATTTTAAAGACTCAGAGTTAGAGTGTCGTGAGTACTTTTGTATTAGATTCTGACCTGCTAGTACTTTGGTGGCAGTTTGATTTTTAGCTCAAATGTTGTTTTAGAATTAATTATGAATTTGAATGTATTCAGCTATGGTTTTCTTTTTTATTTCTGCTCTGAAAGTGCCTTAGCTACAATTGTTTTTTCTCTGTTACTCTTCACTATAATTTTTTTTTTTTTAAATTAAGGAAAATCACTGGATGATTGCATAGCAGAAAGGGGTGCTAAAGGAATTATGTTGAAGATTTTCTGCTGGAATGACAAATTCTTCTAAGTGGCTAAAGTTTTATGGCAAATGTGGTGAAGGAACTTAGGAAAAGAACAAAGACAACTATTGAGTGGCATGGCACCTTGCAGGACTAAATGGGAACCCATGTCCTGTAGTACAAAAGCCTTTGTCCCTGAGCTTGTCAATTTGGATTGATGATGCCCTGTGGAATCTAGGATACTCAAGATCACTATGATTTTTCTGTTGTCATAACTTTGCAAAACTACTTATTCTTTTGGAGTGGTTAAACATAGAAAGGAATCTGATATTCTGAAAATTTTGGTATTTACTAAATTTTTCAGGCAACATTCCTTAGTTCATAAGTTTGATATTCTGTTTTATGAGTTTCTAAACAGCGAGAGAGAGTTATATATTAGTGTGGAAAGAATATAAAAATATACTACTGTTTCAGCTGGAAAGTGATCCCCTACATTATATATATTCTCTTTCTTTTTGAGGCAGAGAGCCTCGCTCTGTTGCCCAGGCTAGAGTGCAGTGGTGTGATCTTGGCTCACTGCAGCCTCCTCCTCCCAGGTTCAAGCGATTCTTCTGCCTCAGCTTCCCAGGTCGCTGGAATCACAGGTGTGTGCCACTACACCTGGCTAATTTTTGTATTTTTAGTAGAGTGGGGATTTCACCATGTTGGCCAGGCTGGTCTTGAACTCCTGGCCTCAAGTGATCCTGCTCCTGCCTCAGCCTCTCAAAGTCCTGGGATTACAGGTGTGAGTCATCGTGCCTAGACTTAATTCTCAAATATATGTACCTAATGAACAGTGAAGTTACATTTACTGATTTTTTTTTTTTAAGACAGCCTCTCTTGCCTGCTGAAGCTCAGTGGTGCAATCATGGCTCACTGCAGCCTTGATCTCCCTGGTTCAAGTGATTCTCCTACCTCAGCTTTCCAGGTAGCTGGGACTATATGCATGCACCACCATACTCAGCTGTTTTTGTTTGTTTTTGTAGAAACAAGGTCTCACTGTTTTTTTCCAGGCTGGTCTCAAACTCCTGGGCTCCAGTGATCCTCCTGCCTCAGCTTGCCAAAGTGTTACGATCTCAGGTGTGAGCCATTGTACCTGGCCCAATTACTAATTTGTTTTTTTGAGAGAGAGTCTCACCCTGCCACCAAGGCTAGAGTGCTATGGTGTGATCTCAGCTCACTGCAACCTCTGCCTCCCAAGTTCAAACGATTCTCCTGCCTCAGTCTCCCAAGTAGCTAGGATTACAGGTGCACACCACCACACCTGGCCAATTTTTTGTATTTTTAGTAGAGATGGGGTTTCACCATGTTGGCCAGACAGGTCTGGAACTCCTGACCTCATGATCCATCCGCTTTGGCCTGCCAAAATGCTGGGATTACAGATGTGAGCCACATGACTGGCCCAATTACTGATTTTGTAAGCTAGAAATTATCTTGACAGTGATCTCTAGTGCATCTTTGAATGTGATTATATTGTCAACCATGGAAATAACATTTCATCCTGATACATCTGTTAGTGTTTTTCTGCTGATTACCTCTTCTAGCCTTGGCCTTTGTTCAGTGATAGCCAAATCCTAAGGTTCTTACACTAGGTATGTAGAGACTGTCTTCTGTTGGCTCAGAGGAATGTTACTGAGATCTGTTGATCCATGTGTTCCTGAAAGAATACCACTTGTCTTTTTCTATGCTTAAAAAAAAAGTCTTCTAAGTTATTTTCATTGCTTTAGCTTAAGTTGGCATGATTTGCATAATGGCTACAATTTCTAATTAGGTTAAGAAGACATTGAGCCTTTTTTTTTTTTTTTTTTTTTTTTTTTTGAGACAGAGTTTCGCTCTTGTTACCCCGGCTGGAGTGCAATGGTTCGATCTCGGCTCACCAGAACCTCTGCCTCCTGGGTTCAGGCAATTCTCCTGCCTCAGCCTCCTGAGTAGCTGGAATTACAGGCACGCGCCACCATGCCCAGCTAATTTTTTGTATTTTTAGTAGAGACGAGGTTTCACCATGTTGACCAGGATGGTCTCCATCTCTTGGCCTCCCAAAGTGCTGGGATTACAGGCGTGAGCCACCGCGCCCGGCCGACATTGAGCCTTTTTAAATGATTTCAGATTTCCTCATAGTCTGGTAAAGTAATTGGTCATATGTTATATGATTTGGAGATGTACTTGGCATACTTGCACCTACTTAATTGGTATGTTAAGACCTTTCACGTCTAATGGGTAGTCATAGGTAGAGGGCTGGTCCACACAATTTATATAGCAGTGCTTTTTAAACTGTTTTGCTTGTGTAACTCATATGGGAAGTTTGAAAAGTGATGATCCTCGCATATTTTTAAGTTTGTATTAAAATTTTTTCTTCATAATTTTAAGTGATTTTAAAGAATATAATTTAGGCCAGGTGCCGTGGCTCTAACCTGTAATCCTAATACTTTGGAAGGCTGAGGCAGGAGGATCACTTGAGGCCATGAGTTTGAGACTGGTCTCGGCAATATAGCGAGACGTTGTCTCTAAAAAGTTAGCCAGGTGTGTTGGTATGCAACTATTCTCCTACCTTCCTAGGAGGCTAAGGTGAGAGGATCATGTGAACCTGAGGATTTTGAGGCTGTAATGAGCTATGATGGCACCACTCCACCCCTGGTTGGGCAACAAAGCAGAGACCTGGTCTCAAAATAAGTAAATAAAATTTAGAAAAGAATGTCATTTCTAAAGTATTATTAATATGGTTACTTCAAAACTGTTTTGTCTCTTTTTAAAATGTAACCAGTGGAATCCAAATGTCATAGTGTTTTGTTACTTAATATCATTGATTTAAAAATATATAAGTAAGCTTTTTATTCAATACCAGAAATTTCATTCATTCCCTTCTTTTGTGAATTTCTATTGAAATTTCATGTCACATATATAATTTTATCCTTATAACCTATTTCCATGGTTGAAATTCCAATTGATCTGCTTGTGATACTTTTCTGTAACAAAATGATATATACAGGCATACTTTTATTGCCCTTTGTTTTATTGTACTTTACAGAAATTGCATTTTTTTTTAAACAAACTGAAGGTTTGTGGCAACTCTGCGTTAAGTCTCACGATGCCATTTTTCCAACACCATATGCTCACTTCGTACCTCTGTGTGCTCAGAAGAATGTCACTGAGATATTTTAGCCAAGTTGTGAATGCAAAGGAAAAGTTCTTGAAGGAAAGTAAAACTGCTACTCTAGTGAACACATGAATGATAAGAAGGCTAAATCACTTATTGCTCATATGGAGACAGTTTTAGTAGTCTGGATAGATATGAGCCACAACATTTCCTTAAGCCAAAGTCTGTTATCCAGAACAAGACCCTAACTCTCTTAAATTCTATGAAGGCTGAGAGAGGTGAGAAAGCTGCAGAAGAGAAGTTTGAAGGTAATGGAATTTGATTCAAGAGATTTAAGGAAAAAAGCCATCTCTATAACATAGAAGTACAAGGTGAAGCAGCAAGTGCTGATGTAGAAGCTGTAGCGAGTTATCCAGAAGATCTAGCTAGGTGAAATCATTTTTGAAGGTGGTTATAGTAAATGACAGATTTTCACTGTAGATACAGTAGCCTTCTTTTGGAAGAA